GGATTCGAACCCGCCACCTTAGGTGTATGTGGCTGGCGCCTTAGCCGCTTGAGCCACAGGCGCCGAGCCCAAAATCCTGTTTTAAATAGGCAGTATTGCTATCCTCACTTCACACTTTATAGGAGACTATGGCATACAAAGGTTAAAGAAGGACCTGGGAAGAAACGGAGGAGAAAGGGCTTGATCTTGATGATTGATTACCAAAATGCTTAAAGCAAAGCTGTCTGGTGTGTGTGAAACAAGAGAACCTAAACCATCAGTGAAAATGTTGGCCACGCAGGAAAAAAGCAGATAGAACCGGTGTTAGATAACCGAGTCTTTTCCCTAACGTTATTGACCTTATGTGCCCGTATAACAACCCCAGCACAGCAGGTACTGTATTAGACAATCATTTACGAGCACAGCCTGTAAGCCAAGCTTCGCAACCCGGAGCGGTGGCGTGTCCGGCTCCGGACTTGACAGTTACATAATAAACAACCAGATCCTCGGGCTTCCCTCAGCCCCTGGGCGCGGCTGTAAGTGCTCCGGCCTCGCGACCCGAAGCAGGCCCCAAGAGAACTGCAGCCGTTGGGGAATCCAGGGAAGAGTTCCAGCGCGGGAGGTAGGGTGAGAGGTTACCGTGAGTATTACGTAAGGTATGCGAGTGCGCGGTGGGAGCGATAGGCCCGTCAGGGGAAGGGGGTGTGTCCTGGCGGCCGTGCACCTCCTCTGATTGGCCGGCAGACTGACGAGTACGTTTCCAGTCGGTCCGGCAGCGGTGTTAGCGTGCGTCAGCTTTACGCAATCCAAAAGGGAAGAAGAGGCGTGTCAGGTTGCTCAGTGAGCTAGCCCATTGGCTGGAAGGCTCCGGTGCCGGCGGCCGGGCCAGGCCTGAGGAGGGCGGTGCCGCAGGCCTGGTCCCGGAGGTGACTACCGGCTTCAGCGAAACGATCATGGCAGCTCGGAGTGGTCAGAGAGCTCTGAGAAGAGTGGTCTCAGGATGCTGTCCTAAGTCGGTGACAGCGACGGGAGCCCCTTCTCCGGCGCAGGGGTCTGCGCCAAAAGTCAGGTAATAAAGGGAATGCCTTGACGAAAGTAGTTTTCCCCCGGGCCTGCTGAGTTGGACGGGAAGGATTCGGGGTGAGGCGGAGCGAGGCTTGGTGTGTTTCCACGTCTCTGGAGAAGGGTCTTTCTTGTTCGTTCAGCACGTGAAGGACTAAGGCGCCTCGCGCATCACCTGGGCCCGAAGCTGTGTTCGTGGTTCGCTGACCTCGCGAGAGTCGGTAAATCTTTGGCGAAGTGACTCTGGAAGTAACTCGGCCGCAGGTGCCTGCGGGCTCTTCCGGTCTCCTCCCCTATAACTTGTTGCTGGTGTGGGAAAAGTTTTAACTTTGCGCGGAAGTGTTGCCGGCTCCAGAGAGTAAGGGTGTTTGTGGCAGGGCTGTGAGCCCTTTCTCTGCTCCTCTTGCGTGCCAAATGGTCAGATGCTCTTTCCCAGTTTCTGACAAAGAGGTCTTTTCCCCCGCCATTTGGTGCTTGCAAAACTAAATGTTCCCAACCTCAGGGACCTGCGTTTCTTTATTTTTCTTCACAGTAATTTAGAGGTCCTGTAACCTTAAACCAGAGTCTGCTTTGAATTTTCCTGATTGGCTCCTTTTTGGTGGGTGTGGGTGGAAGTGGAGGTGGAAATACTGAAGGATACCACATTCGTATTACTTAGTTTCCTTTTACTGATAACGTTGTAATAAATAATTCTTGAAAAGTAAAATTGTGTCTTTAAAACGAATTCAGATGTACACGGTACCGGGTGGGGAGAGAAAGTACAAATCGGGTTGAGCCCCAGGACATTGAGATGTAATGAAGAATTGTAGTTATTTTTAAAAAATTTATTAATTAATTAATTTTTTGTTACTGAGACAGTCTCATTTTGTCATCTTGGGTAGAGTACATTGGCATCATAGCTCACGGCAACCTCAAACCCTTGGGCTCAAACGATCCTCTTGCCTCAGTCTCCGGAGTATCTGGGACTACAGATGCCCAACACAACACCTGGCTAATTTTTCTGTGTGTGTGTGTGTGTGTGTGTGTGTGTGTTTCGGTTTTTGTCCGGGCCTGGGTTTGAACCCGCCACCTCCGGCATATGGGACCGGCGCCTTACTCCTTTGAGCCACCGGCGCCACGCTTGTTTTTCTGTTTCTAGTAAAGACTGGGTCTCGCCTCTGCTCCAGCTGGTCTCGAACTCTTGAGCTCAGATCCACCCTTCTTAGACTCCCATAGCGCTAGGATTACAGGTGTGAGCCACTGTGCTGGAAAAGTAATTTCTGCCAACTCCAAATCCTTTTAAACAAACTGAAAATCATATCGTTTACTCCTGCTTTAAGAAATAACCTCAAAAAGTAGTTTCAAGCAGAACATAACCCCATCATTCTTTACATCTGCTTGTATTACTCTTATGAAATGTTAGCGTACAAATAAAACTGTTCTTTTGAAATAAATGCAGTTGCTTTAGTGATCAAATTAATGTTTAAATTCTGAGATAAATATCTACTGTTTATGATAATATGGGAGTGAGCTTATGAGTTCATAGCATCATAGATTCTTTATTATAATTGAGCATATGAGAGAGTTATCCTGAAAGATTAGTAATTTAGGGTGGCACCTGTGGTGCAGTGGCTAGGGTGCTGACCCCATATACTGAGGGGTTCAAACCCGGGCTCCAGCCAAACTGCAACAAAAAATAGCTGGGCATTGTGCCAGGCGCCTGTAGTCCTAGATACTTGGGAGGCTGAGGCAAGAGAATTACTTAAGCCCAGGAGTTTGAGGTTGCTGTGAGCTGTGATGCCACAACATTCTACCCAGGGTGACATAGTGAGACTCTGTTTCAAAAAAAAAGAAAGAAAGATTAGTAATTTAAAAGGCTGCCCTCTGTAGCTGGGCAAGAGAATCACTTAAGTCCAAGAGTTGGAGGTTGCTGTGAGCTGTGACGCCATGGCACTCTACTAGGGGTGACATAATGAGACTGTCTAAAAAAAAGAAAGAAAGAAAGATTAGTAATTTAAAAAGCTGCCCTCTGTAGCCAAGCAAGAGAATCTCTTAAGCCCAAGAGTTGGAGGTTGCTGTGAGCTGTGACGCTCTGGCACTCTACCAAGGATGACATAATGAGACTTGGTCTCAAAAAAAAAAAAAAAAGCTGCCCTCTGTGTAATCCAGTAATCGTTTCATGGTTTATTGTTCATTTATATGAATGCATGGCTCTTCATATTGCAGTTGAAGAAATAGTATTCTTGATAGTGTGTGAGAATAGACGTGCTGTCCAAGGCACAGTACCCATAGAATGTAAATAGATAGGAAATCTCCTATTAGTTTGCTTTAAACACAGATGTTTCCTTTAGGATTATAATCAGATCGTGTAAGGGTATCTTTTAGGGAATGAGAAACAATATGTGAACCTAGTACAAAAACATATATAGTGAATCGTATACTGAATTCACTTCTTCAGATGCAAAGGTCTTATCTTCTTTAAAATAAAGATTTGCCTCAGAGAAGCTGCCTTTTCTGATACTGGTGTGTCACAAAATTATTAATAATCACACATAGTATCTGCCATAGTTGGCTTCCACAGATAATAAGATACTACGTACATAACAAGGTATCAGTGGAGTACAAAAGTGGAAAAATAAAACTGTTATAATAAAGATATCTAAAGAGTGTTTTAGAAGGGAAATAGATGATTAGGCATTTTGTACATCATAGTTTTTGTAATCCATCTAGCTAACAAAAGATCCTAAATTTTGTATGTGTGACTTTTTTTTTTTTAAGGTAGAAGCTAAATTAACATTTTATTTGCACTTTTTGGCTTCATTTAACAGAGAAACTAAGGGTACTTTTGTTGGTATAATCATGCTTTTCAGCAAACCATAGGTATACCCTTCAAAAAATCACAGTAGGCTTTTTTCACATAACATATTCTTAAAGATTTTCAAGAAACTTTTTTCTTTTTGAGACAGAGTCTTACTAAGTCTCCCTGGGTAGAGTGCTGGGGCATCATCATAGCTCACGACAACCTTAAACTCTTAAGCTTAAGCAATCCTCTTGCCTGAGCCACCTGAGTAGCTAGGACTGCAGGCACCTGTCACAACTGACTTGGCTAATTTTTCTATTTTTAGTAGAGATGGGGGTCTCCCTCTTGCTTAGGCTGATCTCTAACTCCTGAGCTCCAGCCATCCACCCACCTCAGCCTTTCAGAGTGTTAAGATTACAGGCATGAGCTGAGACAGGTGGATGTCTTAATCTCAGAAATTTTGAGACCAGCCTGAGCAAGACCGAGACCCAATCCCTACTAAAAGTAGAAAAATTAGCTGGGCATCTTTCTGTAATCCCAGCTATCCAGGAGGCTGAGGCAGGAGGATTGCTTAAACCCAAGAGTTTGAGGTTGCTGTGAGCTATGATGATGCCACAACACTCTACCCAGAGGAACAGAGTGAGACTCTGTCTCAAAAAAAAAAAAAAATAGCCAAGTGTGGTGGCTCACACCTTTAATCCCAGCACTTGGGAGACTGAAGCAAGTGGATTGCCTGAGCTCACAGGTTCAAGACTGGCCTGAGCAAGAGTGAGACCCTGTCTCTAAAAGATAGCTGGGCATTGTGGCGGGCACCTATAGTCCCAGCTACTTGGGAGGCTAGGCAAGAGAATCGCTTCAGTCCAAGAGTTTGAGGTTGTTGTGAGCTGTGATGCCACAGTACTCTACTGAGGGTGACCAAGTGAGACTCTATCTCAAAAAAAAAAAATTTTTTAAAAAAAAGGCTTGACATTTGTAGTTCAGTGGTTAGGGTGCTGGCCACATACACTGGGGCTGGTGGGCCTGCTAAACAACAATGATGACAACAACAAAAAAATAGCCGGGCATTGTGGTGGGTGCCTGTAGTCCCAGCTACTTGGGAGGCTGAGGCAAGAGAATTGCTTAAGCCCAAGAGTTTGAGGTTGCTGTGAGCTATGACATTATGGCACTCTACCGAGGTAACATAGTAAAACTCTATCTCCAAAAAAAAACAAAAGAAAAGAAAAGAAATTTTAGACCAGATGCAGTGGTTCCTGTCCGTAATCTTGGCACTTTGGGTGGTCAAGGCAGGAGCATCACTTGAGGCCAGAAGTTCATGAGACCCTGTCACTACAAAAAATAAAAAAGTAGGGGCGTGCCTATGGCTCAAAGGAGTAGGGTGCCGGCCCCATATACTGGAGGTGGTGGATTCAGACCTGGCCCTGGCCAAACACTGCAAAAAAAAAAAAAAAAAGAAAGAAACAATAGCTGGGTAGGGTGATATATGTCTATAGTCTTATTACTTGGGAGGTTCAGGCAGGAGGATCACTTGAGCCCAAAAGTTCAAGGCTGCAGAGAGTTTTGATCACAGTACACTCCAGCCTAGGCAACAGAGTAAGGCCCTGTTTCAAACAAGAAAAAAAAAAAGAAATTTTAATTTACATATAAGTTATATTTTGCATAAATCAAATTTTATATATAATTTGAGATTTCCCAAGGCCATCTGAACTCCCTTTTTAAAAATAATTTGAGATTTGACTTACTTAAATATCACTCTCTTATTTGGAAATCATTAAAAACTTCTCACTGAGAATAAATTTTAAATTAATTATCCTAGCCAAAAATATCTAACATGATCCAGCTCTCCTACCTGTCTTTCCAACATTATTTCTTAGTATTCTCCCTTTGATTTATACTGCTGCTATACTGTTAATTTTCATCTTTTCCCTGGTGCCTGGAATATCATCTGCCTCTCCTCCCATTTATTTGTATATACATATTCATAAATATATACACACACATTATTATGAACATACATACATACATCTTTATTTTTTCCTGGCTAACTCCTCATCCATTATGTCTCAGCTGAAATATAACCTGAAAGGGTTATAGAACACTCTGCCTAATTAGGCCCTAATTACATGTCCCTACCTCATTTCTTTTCCAGCACTTTTTCTAAATCTTCACCTGGAATATAATGTTAATAAGGCTCATGTTCTATTCACCATTATATCCTTAGTGCCTAGCACAGTCCAAAACAGAATAGGAGCTTAGTAACTATGTGAACTACTAAATGACAGATAGTGTAAAATAGTTATGTAATAATCTTATTGGGGAAAGTTAAACATATTTAGGTGAACAAGAGTATATCAGGCATCTGTACATAGAAGTACCTAATTGTTAGATTCTAATTAGGTATATTTTTATATATATGCTTTGAAATGGAGACTGAAAGGTAAAGAACAGAGCAACAGTTCTGACAGGGCCACCCCATCTCCTGCCTGACAGTGATAACTAATTTTAAATCTCACTGGAGTGAATCAAAAATTAAGAAACCCTTATGGATATGGCTGGGAAAACAACCTAGGTAGATAACATGAATTGAAAAATAGATGATGAATATCCTAGCAAGCTTATGGCAAGAGCATGTTACAACACATGATTAGAAACTGAAAGCTACCTTTCTGGGAGAGATGCCTTTTGTGCCAAAAGCTTTTAACCTAAATATAAGCTGTTTGTAGTTTTCTTTATGGTGCTTAGAATTTTTATTTTTTCAGTGTGTGTATTTTGTTGAAATATTCTGAAGTTGCAAAACTTTCTAAATGTGATAATTACCATCTCTATAATTTGTGCTTCGTCTAATTTTCATTGTCACTCTAAATCAGGTAATTTTTATCTTTGTAGATATTTGGCTTCCTGTGGTATACTGATGAGCCGAACTCTTCCACTACATACCTCAATTTTGCCTAAGGAGATATATGCAAGAACTTTATTCAGAATTGCTGCACCATTAATAAACAAAAGGAAAGAATATTCAGAGAGGAGAATTTTAGGGTTTGTATATAATACAAATTCTACTTAAAAAAAAGTTCACAATTTTCTGTGGAGAATCATGCTTCCTTCAGGCTTATGTTCTTACAGATTAAGATCTGATTTTTCTAGGTTGACCTTTTTATAGCCATTCCTATTTTATAAATATGTATTGGATAAATGTAATTATATAGTAACTTTACAGTATAGATTTAAACCTTGATATGTAAGAGAAGTTATTTATGACTTGCGTTTTCGTACACTTTTTTTCCATAGTGGAAACATTAGGCCGTAGTTGATGTGGCTTTGTCACATATACACATACATAGATAAGCACATGCAGGCATACTGAAGCTCCTAATCTAGAGCAGGGGTTGGTAAGCTTTTTCGTAAAGGGCCAGATGGTACATGTTAGGCTTTGTGGGGCCTAAGGACTGCTCAGCTCTGTCATGGTATCCCAAAGACAGACATAAATAATACATGAACAATTGGATATGGCTGTTCCAATAAAACTTTATCAGAATTGGCCTCTGATCTAGGGGTATGTACAACAGAGGAAAAAGACACTGCAGTTCTGCTAAACTAGAAATATACCATCTTGCCATGTGGGAGTTTCTACAAGGAGGTCTTAATTCCAACAGGCCATTAAATGTTTACATGAAACTTTGTAAAAGTACATTTCATTTATTTTATTCATTCACTTTTATTCTTCTGATTTTTCTGTAGTAAAAGACTTACAGGCTCGGCGCCTATAGCTCAACCGGCTAAGGCGCCAGCCACGTACACCTAAGGTGGCGGGTTCGAATCC